ATATATATATATATATATATATATATATATATATATATATATATATACAGATATATGCATATATATATATATATATATATATTTTATATTATGCGCCGCACGTTCATCGGCTATTCCTCTTGGACCCCATCTCGCGCCCCCCTTAGTGCCTCTCTGTAGTATGTGTCGTGTGAAGTTGGTACGTGTAGCTCTACTGGGTTGTAGGCTGCCTTCTCAGGGCAAAGCAACTGCTTTCAGAGTTAGTGCATGCAGGAAATGGGGCTTGGCTGTGCTTATACGGGGGCCTACACTGCAGCATTAGTTGCAGCGGGATGCGCTTCACCTCTGCGCACTGAACCCCTGGGCCTTGGCTACTGCTTCAACGACACGTGGAAATGGAAGGGAAGGTCAGCTTCTTTGGAGGGGCTTTCACATTAGTTCTTTTTTCTCACTATTGCACCTTACAACGGTTGTTGAAGAGGGTTGCCGGCCCTTGGTACGTGCATTCTTGGTTCATGGGGCCCATTTGCTGTGCTTGCGTACGATTGTAGTCACTGCCACTGAATTGACGAGGAGGCACAGATGCTCCTGAGAAAATGTTTCGCGCGAGTTATCCTCAGAAACCCACTCAGCCGATCGGTATAGCTGTCATTAAACCTTAACATTTTCATCTTCTTTCGTCTCTAACCCCCCTTACACGCCTATTTAGGATCTCAGTCTCGTCCAGTTGCTCCTTCACGCAATGATGCTGCTAACGTCTTGTGCAGACAGTCCGAAGAAAATTCAGCACTTTCCCGAAATCTTTTTGAAAACCAGCATTAATGGTATGGTGACATCTCCACGTTGAAGACAGATCTACAATGCACGCCAGAGCATGAGCACGAGACCGCAAGGCGTGCTGTGATGGGCAACTGAGATAATGGTTCTTCAACAGGAACGAAGAGCAGAATGGGGTGAGCCCCCTCCTAGAAGATGCCTCTGAGGGTGACAACGCTACAGGCAGGGACACATTTCCCCGCAGTACGTCCTGCGCGAGCTCAGCTTCACGGAAATATGCGGCGACAGTGCACACAGTCTGAGTGCCCTAGAAGACAGCATAAACAAGAATTTTACGAGCTTCGGCCTACATATAATTCACCAAAGGCACGCAGCCGTCATGCCGTCATGACAAGGCATAGAGGCCCTCGGTCACTTTGTCCGCCAACACTTCTGACCTACTAGCGAAGCATGCGGCAGCCTACGCCCAGAAGACACCAGAGGAACTAGACCTACACGCACTCTAGTTAATGAATACAGCAGAAAGGAAGACGGCAGCACTATACACCAGGCCGTTTGCCTTATGTTTTTAGCCATATAGAGTTTCACAACCTCTCCTAGTGCAAGCAACCAGCCAGCCAGCCCAGTTAGTCCACAGCAGCGAAATACAAAGTACATCGGCCCCGTGGAGCAACTGAATGAGAGTGGGCCCCAGACAACAATTTCTCCTGCTTTGCTGGCATGTACCAAGGAGGAATGCCGAGCACAAAACATTGTTCAGCTGCTTATCACCCCCTATCCCTCCACGCCTGCACAGACCGCTTGGAGTGGGCCTTCACACTACCCTACTGATAACCGATCTCATCCCGTACTTGCGTTACCGAAGACCGGACCTTTCCGTAGGCCTACCAAACACACTTCATCACACTCTCATCGACAAGACACTTATTCAGATCGGAAGGAGTTTTATAATTATTCCTACATGCAACAGGGACACCTTTAGCCGCAGCAAGCCAGGCAAGCACACGAGGTGCTCACGCCATCCTAAGATAGCATCCGTGCTGTTAAGACGTTCGAAAAGACCGTGGTGTTGCAGTGTGAAGTAGCGAATGCATCCTCCGCCTTAAATTTCCGTCACCCAACCACTCTACTGCTTGCCCTGTCACGTGGAATATCTACCGTCCCACTGCCTCGACGTCTCGTCGAACGTTGACTCGCCTCCGCTCTTCACTGTCCTATTGGGGGCTCAGGCAGACTTCTCACTTGAGTCTGCGCCTGTTAGACCCCCCAGCGGTGGTTGCTACCAGTGAAGAGCTGCGATCTGAGATGAACCGTATCACCTCACCTACTATGCAACTCCTGATATGAGGTACCCCACATGCAAGCATAGCCCAGCCCCCTCTGCTGCATGCACGAACACCCTAGCCACCAGCTAAAGACTTACTTCGGCCCAAGAGGAATACAAGTAAAAAGCTCAGTCGACCAAACCACAACAGAGGCGGTCTGGTGCTTGATACTCCTTCCTATTATTTCTACTAAACCCACCACTACATAACACAGTCATGCGGACTGAACATCAGCGCCGGCAATGTAAGGAAATTATTTTTTGTGAAAGTTTTTCATACGCTCCACTAGACTGCAGCAAGATTAGATATCATAATATGCAATTGATAGTTAGGATGTTATATTACTAAGAGGCCCCTGCGGTACTGATGTAGGCAGAACTGAGTAGTTGAATGCTTACTTGCACAGCACCTGCTGCTGCTGCTGCTGCAAATCATAGGAAAGCCCCCAATTTCTTTAGGAAACCTTTGTTATATACGAAAATCGATTATTTAAAACAGCTTAGAAACCTAAAGACAAGAGAACTCCGCCTCAATGAACAAATATCATTCATTGCAGTGTTCAGGGCTGCATACGCAACAGCCCCAAAAACTGTTGTTAGCCCCCAAACCCTATGAAGAGGGAAGCCTTTACATCTTATAATAAGTATTTCCTTTGACTTTTATAACAATATTGCAGCGGAAGTTGTTTAAAGCTTTCTCTTATTTTGAATCTGCTTCTCCGCAGTGCTCGGCGCTGCGTCGTTTCTGCAACTCCCACCAGCAACCGTTCAACAACAAAATATCTAGCAGCAGAAAGAGAAAATAAAAAGAAATACAAGCCAATGAACTCAGCTCGCCCTTAGTGGGGGCTTCTCTTCTCTTCTCTTCTTTTCTTTTCTCTTCTCTTTGCTTCCTTGTTTCTCTCTCACAGCGAAAATGAGTTCAGGGATGATGTTCTGCCCCGAATGGTGAGTCGAGGAAGCTTAGTAATGGCAAGTTTAGGGTTTATGGCTTAGGGTTTAGGGTTTAGGGTTTATGAGGCGGTTGTTAGGGGCTATGAGTTTGGGTCTACGTGCGTGCTGTGCTGCGTACAGCAACAATATGTTGCAACCGAAGGAAGACCGGCAGAGGCAGCAACTAAAATTTCTCTGCCGCCGCTGCGACTTCTTTCGTTATGCTGAGGGCACATATGAAGAAAACTGCGTCGATAGGATTAACTTCAGCTACAAATCTAAGTGCGTCTCTATATTCTTTTCTGATTATTTCGCGCCCCTTTCCTCCTTTATTAGCCTCACGCTTAGGCAATTTCGTGAATGGTTAAGTTTTTGCTGATGTCTCGGCATTCTCTATCTAGCAGCAAAAAGAGAGAAAGAAAAGACATCATCAGCCAATGTCCTCACCTTGCCCTTTCTCTTTTCTATTCTCTACTCTTCTCGTTTCTCTTCTCTGCTGTATTCTCCTCTTTTCTCTTCTCTTCTCCACTCTACTTTTCTCTTCCCTTCTCTTTCCTCTTCTTTTTTTCTAGCAGAGCAAATGAGTTCAGTTAACCTGTGAAAGATGCGTCGTGTGACGCCCTGTTGATTATATGTTTGTCTATTTGCTCGTCTTTGTGTTATTATTTCTTCTGCGGTTTCTGCTGAATCAATGGGAAAGTTTATGGAAGGATGTTGTGCATGCATCTCAGTGCATATGCTAAGCTTCCTTTTGTCCGTTTGTTTGTTTTCATCAGAGAAGATATGATGATTTCTCCAGATCTATCACAAGACCCAACTCTGGGGCGAGTTCCAGATTGGCGCTGCCCAGCCTGTGGCAATTTAGGTTGCGTTTTCTTTCAATTGCCAGAGAGGGTTGCAGAGGATGCGATGACTTTGGTGTATGTCTGCACAAAAAGCGGATGCGGGTATTCCGTTAAGCAGGATGCATCTCAAGAGGCAGATGCAGATGCAGGTGAGGAAGGAAGCCAGCACACATCCTTGCATATATCATGATATATGTATATATATATATATATTAACCAGATACCGCAGCAGTGTAACCTAACGGCTTCTCTCTCTCTGTTGTAACGAGCCTGAGGGTGCGTAGGGCAAGATAAACACATGTGGATGAGTTTGTTTGCTTTGAATCTTTATATTCGAGAGAATGCGGGGGAATTACCTTTTCCTGCATTCTTTGTGCTGCCTTTTCGTCTCGTTTCTGCGTTCTTTCTTCATTCAGAGGATTCCCCAGAGGCCCTGGGAAGGATAAAGCCGGCGAATTTGCAAGTCAAACAGCCTCCACCACAAGAACTTGAGGCGCACGAACAGCCTGAAGAAGCAAGGGGAGAAGGTGAGTTTCTGCTGCATGCAGCTGCACTCTGATTGCAGAAATGGCGTTGTAGCAGCTTTTTTATAGGGGCATTATATGTGCAGTTTTAAGTGTTGCAGATGACGGAGAAGTGGATGCTGAAGGAGATGCGGACCTCTTTGGAGATGATCAAGCCTTTGGATTCAACAACGAATTAGAAGAAGAAATCGCACAAAATGATGAATTCGATCAGGGAATTGCAGAAAATGAACTTGAACAAGAAATCGCCCTTGAAGGAGGCGAAGAAGACGCCGAAAACAACTTCGGGTTCGGTTCTGTTTAAGTTTTATTATTCTTTCTTTAAAAGCAAAACAAATTCTATTTACTGACGGGAAGAAAGCTGCAGTGAGACCGCAGATCAAACGGGTGGCCGCCGCCATTCTTTTTCTGCAGTGTCTCACTGACAAACAGTTTTTATTTTTTTGTTTGTTGGGGCATTCGAAACTTCTCTCGAGAGAAGACGAATGAAGAGAACGGGAAGTGTAAGTTTCGTTCAATGTGCTGAATCTGGCTAGGGAAAGAGAGCATTGACGATAGTACAAGTTGGAAGAAAGCACACATTGATGGTTGTTGCAACAATCATCAACATTTTATCTTCGTATTCTTATTATGATTCATCCTTTAGCGACTGCTTAAGAGAAAGTAGCTAAAAGAGAAGGCGTAGTAGAGGGCTTGCAACAAATCGTACAGAGCCTTTTCCCCTCTAACAGGAAGTGAATGCGTAACAAAGGAAAGTGCAACAAATATCATTATCTGAATTCAATAAGGAGGAAATATCTCGTATCCGCATTCTAACTGCACGAAGAAACACCAGAATAGAGCGCGTCTTCTGCTGGGGGCCCTCTGCAATAATATACTGAAAAAATTGAATGTATGCAATTATCGTATTAAACCTTCGAGCGTTGGTTTGCTGCCGCACTAAATGCGCAAATGACTTGCAAAAGAGATGAAAAGCTTCCGTGTTTTCTGCATCTATGCAATGCATGCAGTCTTCTAGTGAAGCCAATCTAACACTTCCAGGAGTTCATCCTATGCATATCTAATATAGATAATATATATATATATATATATATATCAGTGCCTATGTAAACTGCGTGGAAATCTAGTCTGAACCCCCTAGAAGTCGCCTCTACCCCCAACGCACCGCAGAAAGGCAGTTAAATGAATAAACCCCTTAAAATAAACAAAATTATTTGGTAAAATATAGGAATTCAGAAGTTTAGAAATGCAGAGACAGAAGCTGCACCGAGCAGTCACCGCGAGCCTCCGCGGCTAAGACGGCATAGTTAAAGCGGATATACAAGTGGAGCAAAGGAGTACAAATGAATAGAAATAGCATATATGTCAATACACGTAAGCAATATATATATATATATATATATATGCTGTGCAGCCCTGCTCAAAGGGCGTACAAGTTGAAGTCCCCCTCTCTCCCTTGTGACAAATTTGCATTTTGCTTGAAAAAGCTTTGATCGGTTGTATGCAGCGGCACCTGCAGTTGCTGCTGCAGTTGCTGCTGCAGTTGCTGCTGCAGCTGCTGCTGCAGCAGCTGCAGTAGTGAAGTCTACATGGGACGGAAGAAAGCCAGTGCGGCTCTACAGCGCATGGAGCGGAAAGAGCTGCTTGAAGCTCTTTTTGTTTAGATGAAGAGAGGCACAAGGCGTGCAGAACAGAGCCAGCAAGAAGAAAATCTTCAGTAGGGTTTGTGTTGATTAGAGAAACCTGTGGAGCTTTCCCCTACCCCTTCGCACATATGTAACACGGCGTCTTCTTGTTTCTTGCGTTGATGCTGTCGTTTCAATGTCTGTAAGCCCTGCATCTGTTCGTGCTGCAGCTGAGACTCTGCTGCCTCCTTCTGCTGCTTCTGCACCTGCAGCAGAAGCCCCTGTACCTGCTTCAACGAAGCTCTTTCCTTCATCTTTGAATGGCAATTGAGGAATTCTTCCGAACTCCTCCTCTACCTCTACCTGTATTTGTTCTTCTTTAGACCAACGCGTAACACGACGTACAAGTCTGCTTTTGTTTGCTGCTGGAGAAGACAGCCAGTAGCGATTAGCTAAAGCCCTCAGCGCCATTATACCCACCACCGTAGCGATCATTGTGAAATGCTTTGCATGGCTTGCTGCAGCAGGAACTGCAGCAGCTACTCCACCTGCAGATGAAGGTGCTGCTACAGCTGCTGTCGCTGCCTCCGCTGCAGGGGCTGCTGCCACGACGATAGGTGCTGCTGCAGCTGCACCAGCAGCAGCAAGATTTGGCGCTGCTGCTGCTGCATTTCCAGCTGCCGTTGAGACAACGGGCGCTGCCCCTACTGCTGCTGCTGCTGCCGGTGCTGCAGCACCATTTGCTGCTGCTGAATGGGTAGATGCAAGAAATGCATGTCCTGCTGCTGCGCTGCTGCCACCAACTTTGGTGAAAGCTCCGCCCTTAGCTGCGCTAGAGACGCCTTTCGTGAGCACCGCGAGGCCAATGAACTTCCCTCCTGCTGCTGCTGCTCCCCCTGCTGCTGCAGCTCCGCCTGCAGCTGCAGCCGTGGTAGTAGTAGCAGCTACAGATGTACCTGTTACAGCTAACGAGGCGCCTCCGGTCTTCAGGAGGATAGGCGCAAAGGCCAAAGAGGTGAGTAGCGGCATCGTGCCCCCACTCGCCTTTGCCTGGCCCTTCAGGTGTATGTGCACCGCAACAAACGCCCTTTAACCCTCAGCTTCACTGCAAGAGTCAAGAAAAGAAAGGGTAAGGGAGGCTGTGAGCGCAGCAGGCAGACACGCTGTGGATGGAGTACGGGAGTACGTCCTCGCCCATACTTTTGAAGCAGAAAGTTGAATTAATATAAATTAAAAAGAGTCAGAGTAAATACAGCTGGTTTTACAGAGGAAAAGGAATAAATATATCTCGATGCCTAAGAACCGCCGCACCCGCTACCAGTGAGGAGGAATGGCTTGAAACAAGGCAGCAAAATTAAGAGTTCTTCTTCAGTGCCTCTCCACAAACAAATAAAATTATTTTAAAAATGTTTTATTTGTTTTATTTGCTTTTTAATGAAGAATACAAAACAAACAATGCCTGCAAACTCTACCGCTAGATGGCAGCCCTCGCCTTCAGGCCCCCCCCACCCACCTGAATATCATAAGAAAACTAATTGCGGGTTTCCTTCCTAATAAACTGCAATATTCTGGGACAAAAAACAATATTATTAATTTAAAAACATATATTTTTGTTTTAAAAATATTACTTCGTTTCGTTGATTCTCCCCCTCTTCACAGCGAGCCTCGTGGTACGGTAGTTAGTGTAGTAAGGCCAACCGCCATGGGCAAACGTTTGTTTGCAGTAGCTGCTGAAGTAAACTCATTTAAAGATAAAAGCCTTTAACTGTCTACAAAGAAACAAGAGAAGCTGCATCTCTAAGCAGTCAGGCGCTGTCTATCCGATCTCCAGATCATACTAAGCAAGAAAGAGAGAGCATAAAGCTTGTCTTTCAAACACAAGAAACAGCAGCAGCGATGCTCCTGCTGCTCTTATGCACTCTGTTGCTGTGCTGTTTGCTCGTCTTCAGCATTTCTCTCAGCAGCAAAACCCTGTGTCTCCCCCTTCCTCCTCCACTCTACTCATAGCCTGCTCTCCCCTGTCTATTTCGTATGAATGCCAAACCATCTACTGTTTATTTGAGAGTAAACAACTTAAGAAAGTCTGCTTTACTTCTTGCAGCACAAAAGACAGCAATCTCTAGCCGTCGCAGGCACCTCCCTAACAAAAAGGCCGGACAAAGGACAAAGATACGTCTTTTGCCTATTTATAGATGAAGTCTGAAGCATGACGCATGAGAATATCTTAACGTTGTTTATATTTCAAAGTGTGTCTTTAACGGTTATATCCGCGTGCATTGGAGGCCCTAGCTTCTGGGTTTGCTAAACCTTTTCTGTCTCTCTTATCTGCATGTATATATATAGGGTTTAGACCGAGCCCCTAAGTGTACGTGGCTTGTTTTTGTTTATTAGGTATTTATTGGCGGGAGTAAAATATTGAATTCGGGTGTCTGTGGAGACACCCCAAGAGCGGATGGCGGCGCAGCCTGATGCGCCTGTCTCCTTCTCGGTTCCTGTGTTGTTGTTGTATGAAGACGGCAGGCATAAATCAATGAAATAAAGGAAATAGCCTTCTTCTGTCTTTAAACCAACACAACTAACAGGAGGAAGAGGGACAGAGACTCAGCAGAAACAGCAACAACACAGCTGCTGTCCTTGTGCTGCTGCCGGCCTGCAGCGGCGGAAGGGGCGAGAGAAACACCGCAGCATTTCGTCTATCTTACTTTCTCTCTCTCTCTTTCTTTGGATAGCCTTAAATGCAATAAAACGCAAGCGAACAACAAACAAAGATGTCACAGGAACTCCGCATAGCGCAGCCCTCGGCTGTCTGCAGTTGATAGACGAATAGTCCGCTGCTCATCAGGCCTCATGTTACTCTTTGAAACTCCAGAAAAAAGAGGGGTGAGAAGGGGCAGAAAATACAAAGCCTGCTCCAGCACTTCCGGGGCACCGCCTCCACCTGCTGCCGCCTGTTGGGCTATACCTCCAGCGATGTTTCCGACGGCACTAGCAGCCACTGCAGCACGAACACACACAGGAGAACAGCAGGATATATTCAATGAATGCATAAATCAATTAGCCAGCAAGCAGGAGCAAAGACACCTGAAATGCAGCAGCAGCATGATGCATGCGTCCCTCAACAAACAGATCTGCTGCGTCAGCTACAGCTTTCACTCCTGCACAAGAAAAAAGGAAAACCAAATAAATAGCAGACATAGCAGTCGCAGCAACATGCAGTACTCCATCTCACGCACTTCCTGCTGGGGTTGCTGCTAAAAGTCCGCCCAAACCAGCAGGCGCTGCACCCCCTAAGAAACTGGCGCCTCCTTGAGCAGCGGCGCCCTTAGCGAGGAGAAGAGGGGCGACTAACTCGGCCGGCATTTCCAGTAATTGTCTGCATTAAGAGCAAACGCCAGAAAGAAACACGTAAAGGGCTTCTTCCTTCATGCAGCTTAAATACAAGGTAAGCAGAGGTAACACTCAAAACCGAACACAGAATACGCTGTAAACCACCCCAAGGAGATGTACAGACACAAGCAGAAATCAGCAAATTCGTATCAAAGGAGAGAGGAAGATAAAAGGGGTGCAAAGGAACATTGAGCCGTGGGTAGAGAGACTCGTTCAGTGTATGTAGCAACATAGCATTACAACTGCAGGGCTACTTGAGAACACTGGAGAACACTAAGCAGGCTTTATATGTGCAGAAAAGTTTAGAAAAACAGCAGAAATAAACGAACTTCAAGATTAAAAAGTGAAGAAAGAGAAGAACAACAAGCGCTGGCGGCTCCACTCGGTGGGGACCTCGAGTACAAGAGGAGTGCACAAGACAGGAGTCGCTGCTCCTGTAGGGCAGATAAATATACTGAATTATAAAAGAATAATTCCTTTAAATTCGATTATTTACCAGAAACAAACATGAAAAATGGAGCCGAACACCATACAACCACCTCACTCGCTGAGGCCTCGAGGAGGCAATGGGCGGCGCAGCCCCTGACTGAAGGCGCCCCCAAGTTGTGCGGGGCTGCAGCAGGTATATATAAACATAATTACAGCAGAATAGAATTCAAATGTTAATATATAAATAATGCTTTCAAATTAAATATAAATATTCTTTTTATTTCTATTCCATGCCTCCGGTTTCAACTCCTATAACCAGGTGCCTATACCGTCTGGCCGGCGGTGTGTGAGGAGGTGAGGCTGTCCTTTGTCTGTAGCATATGTTTTTTTGTTAATAATAAGGCAGAAGTGTTTTTGGCTTTGTTTCTGCAGAAAATGGCTACTGAATCAACCTTTACGCAGTTTGTCAGCTCCTTGTTTGCGTGTATTCACGGAAAAAAGGTCTTTTGAATAGAAACTTCATAGTTGCTGAGTGTTAGCTATAACATAGTACTTCAGAAGATATATGCTACTACATTAACACTAGATATATTCTATTTGGCTTTAGGAGGCATCCTGCATGCAAGCAGAAGTACAACACCTTTCTATCAGTCTTCCGTCCTGGGTGAAAGCGTATTGAAACCAACGAAAATGCATGAGCAAAGCCAAGCGACGACTAGAACTGCACGTTACGAAGTACTGTGTTGATCCAGAAGGAGGCGAACTTCCTTATTCAGCGCGGCTTTTTTGAATTGCTTGAAGCTGCCTCACCTGCGCCGTCTCCCTTTGTTCTCCTGCCCCAGCTCGGGGTGGTGCCCGAAAACGCTAGTTGACTGCTGAACTTTGCATTTGCCTAACAGTTCTAACTTGCCGCTTGATTGTATTTTCAAGTTGGTAAGGTTGCTTCTATCTCGGAATAAAGCTTGAGTGTGCTCTGGGAGTGAGTTCAATGCGGTGTATTGCCCGTCCACAGGCTTGCCAGCCCTGTGGAGCAGCTTCTCATTTAATGCGTCGTAGAGCCATTTCCTGCGTGCGACTTCTGCTAACACGATTAAATCCAGCGAAACTGCGCCCTACGTAAGACCATCAGGGAGGTCCGTCCTTTTTGTGAGCGCCTCTGTATGGCGTTGACGGATCCGCTCTTCTTTCATCTTGAGACACTGATTGCACTCTATTTATAGCAGGGGATGGTATGTCTATTGAAAACAATAATAGTTGCGCTTTCTCACTGCTTCCCCGCACACATTCCTCAAAATTGTCTGAAAGCCGCTTTCACCTGCTTTCCTTATTCACTCACGGCATGCGTTGAATTATATTGTGGTGAACTGCTCCAAAGTGAAAATCCTCAACAATGGGCGTACGGCCGGCATTTAAATGACCCCAAAATTTCCGCCTATCGGCGTACATACTATCCATTGAAAAAGAGCAGTCGCAGGGGCTGTGCAGCCAACTGGAAAGGCAGGCTGCACCTCTTCGTCGTAGCTTCAGATACCAGACGCACGTCGCAACCCTTTGTCGATTCCCTCAAGCAGCTCCTAACCGTTAATGCTACCTGGAAAAGACACAGAATTGAGATGGACCCGCCCGTGCTGCTGTCCTGTCTTATGTACCCGTCACTGCGCGGACTGGCGCCTAACTTGTGCGGGGCCAGGGTGTTTACTTTATTGCCCGAAGAGGCGCTACTCAAAATCGAACTTCTCGAGCTCTTTCGCTCACCTCGTCTTCTTGCAATATGCAGTCTTGTGGCCTAAAGAAGACGATGCGCCACTCGGTAGTTTCCCCCGTCCTTTTGAATGGCAAATTCGCTGTCTACCGCATATTATGGCTTCTCTTCGTGTTTTCGGCGGGATTGCAGCTCACAACCCCAGCATCCACTGGCTCTATGTTGAGTTATTTTCAGTGTCATCTTCTTGTTCTCCAGTTAACGCAGGAGAAATGGCTTTTTTTCCTTTCACTTTATATGAGAGAAAAAGCCATCCTCTTCTATACTGCCCGTCGATTCGACTTGATCACCTTCGAAGAAGGCAACGATGGAAAATGCAAGAATAACAACAAACACAGGAATAACTTCATCACTTCGGCAATGTCTACTATTTCACCCCCTAACTAATTCTCCCCAGACCCGCCAGCTACTGACAGCGGCTTTTCAGAGGCAACCACTCAATGGACCTTTGCTACAGAATCTCTAAGTCCTCCGTTCACCAGGGACTAATGCTTCCCAGTTAGTATACCTCGTTGTTTAAGCTCGCTTATTTCCTCTATTACCTGTTACTCTGCAGTTCTGGGTTGAACCTACATCGCAGAGCATGTCAAAAGGCTTCCCTTGCCTGGCTGTGATTCAGCGAAGTGATTTCCTGTTTTGAATATAGCCACCATCGTCGTCCTCCCCTTCAAATAAGGAATGTGACAAGAGTGACTGCAGCTCTTCGGGTGCATTTTGAAGACAAAAGTACATCATCAGGGAGCGAATTGTTCCACTGCCCCCCTCATGGCGCGGCTCTTCATATTTGCAGAGTCGGTAAAGGCAAAGGCAGCTTTCATGAATTGACTGGCAAGAAACACTTTCAGTTGAAAGGGAGGAGTATATCGCTTTCGCTCGAATGCGACGAAATGCCAGCCGTTGGCTGCCTCCACCTCTGAGGGCAGAAGCTGGACAATATCTAGTATTGAACGGGGGATATTTTTAAACTTATGAGGATGTTCTTCTTGAAATCATCTTAAGTAACTCGTACTCTGTTGAGGGAGGCAGTCTCACTCTCTAGGGTGAGAGTGGGATATGTTTTTGCTCCTTCTGAATCGTTCTATGTTTTCAAGCATAGAACGATTGGACTACTTGGCCTCCGCCTAAGACAGTGGAGAGCTGCAGGAGAGCAACCAGCCACCCCCTAAATCAGGCGGCCTTCCATAGTGCTTCCAGGCCCCAAGTGCACAGAGGCGCAGGGCCCTACAGCGTATAGGTGCCTGTCCTTAGTTGCAACACTTCTTGTTGGCACTTCTTCTAAAAGCACTGCTATGTTCAGGCAGAACCAAGCCCCGTTCCGATTAGTGCGCAAACAGCACCTTATTCAACTCTTAAACCTCTATTTGTATTTATCTATGTCTACTGTACAAATATGAATAAAACCACCTACTTTCGATACACCCTAGTACGGCTGTACTAAGTAAGGTTGCTGGACATGATGCAGCTAGCTGGGGCTAGTGGCGGCTTGCTGTGGCTAGCCAAGAGCTCGGCCACGCTGGTGAAGGGCCGAGAGAGACGGAAGCCTAAGGTTTGTCTCTTCACAATCCGAAAAGAACAAGGTAGCGAACGGAGAAACTTGTAAGGTATTGCTTTGCAAGAACTGCTTGCACGCTGCTACCCAGCCCCGTTGCTTGCGAATTGTTATGTATATTTTCTGTTTCTTTTGTGGGTTGTCTAAAGGCAAGTGGACGCGGAAATGCTTCATGTAGCAAAGACTTCCGTTAGCCTCTATGACACCGATGTAGCCACAAAAGGCAGCAAAAAGAGATATAAAAATGCGACGAGGATTCAAATTGCTTCCCCGGGGTATGGGGAGGGCAGCAAGGGTGAGGTGTACGTACACTCAAAACAGCTGCCTAAAGCCTCATGTCTTGCGCAGAGGGCAGTTACTGTTTAAGGCTTGCAGAAGAGGCTACCGCCTTCTGTACTAAGCCCCGCACCTCCTCAAGTACCATACAGACAAGCCCCAAACGCATGCGTTGTTCAGAAGCGGCATTTGTTTGTCTTTTGCCAATGCAGGGCTTCACCAGTTCAATCTTTTCGGCAGTAGTAGGGGCCCCACCTGCCAACAGAAAAGGTGTCCGCTGCTGCTGCTGCTGCTGCTGCTGATGCTGATGCTGCTGCGTCAGCAGCTCCTCCGCATCCATCTGCGACGCCAAACGATCCAGAGCCCCCCGCAGAGACTGACCCTGTCTCTGAAGCAGCAGCAGACCCATACGATAAAAGGGACTCACATCCCCCTCACTGCTGCTGTTGTTGCTGCTGCTGTTGTGGTTGCTGCTGCTGCTGCTGCTGCTGCTGCTGCCAGGTAAAAAAACCAGCTTAAGCCAATTTAAAACGCAGGAGATTCGCTCCGAGCCCTCTGCTATCGGCTCGTGTCGATTGATGAGTTGCGAGGTCATAACAAATGATAAAATGCTTAAATTCAAATTAAGACCACCCTCCTCCTCCTGTGTTGCTGCTGTTTCTGCGTCTGCTGTTGTTGTTGCTGCTGCTGCTTCTTGTGCTGCTGCTGCTGCTCCTGTTGTTGCTCCTGATGCTGCTGGTTCTTGCGACCCTCCTGTTATCCGGCTTTGCTGCTGCTGCTTCTCGTGCTGCTGAAGCACCTCAGAGCACCACCGCTGCTTCAATAGAATAAGAACTGCAGCGCATGCAGCATCTGGAAGAGGCTGCTCTTTGGGGTTGAGGAGGCTCTGAAAGAGGAATGTCTGAGCTCGCCAGCTAAATACCCCCGTCATCTGCAAAGACAAACAAAACTCTCAGCCTGTGCAATCCAATTTCGAGTCTATTTATACAATCCATGAGTAAATATATATATATATATATATGTATATATATATATATATGCACACTACATATAAGTGTAAACATATCTATATATATATATATATACATAGGTGGGCGCTGCCAGTAGTGGGAGCAAGGCCTGCTCATGTCGTGCTGCTGGCAACGCCAACTTTAGTAGAGCGGGAAGAAGAAGGTACATTTATAAAGAAGACGAATAGCTGTTTAAAATGAAGTAGAAAGATAGCTGTTTAGAATGAAGTGCATTAATGCAGCGTCTAGACAGACTATATAATGATAATGAAGCGGGTACAGACACCCGACTTGACGCTTTAAAATATGCAAAAAAAAAATAAACATCAAAAATAGAGAAAAAAAAGCAAGAAGTAAACATTCTTTTGTTGCTCAGCGTATTCTCCTGACCCCTCAACAACCATTAACACACGCTACAGAAAGCGCAGCGGCAATAGCAGCAGCAGCAGCAACAACAGCAGCAGCAGCAGCAGCAGCAGCAATATAAAAAGCAACCCCAAACTCGACAGGCTAACGCTTGAACCTCCACCACGCAGCACCAGCAGCGGCTACAGAGACGAATAACAACTGTAAAACAATCCCCTTCTTTGCCTCAGCAGCAGCAGTTGCAGCAGCAGGAATTGCAGCAGCAGAAGTTGCAGCAGCAAGAGCAGCAAGCTTACTAGACAGACGCATCTATAGAGCAGCGTAAGGTCTCCTCCTTGGAGGAAGACTGCATTTGTACAATCTTTTTCTAACAGCTTCGAGTTGCTATCCACTAAGGAGAAAGCACTAATAAACAATTCATCATAAGGCGTCAGAGCGGCCCCCCTGCCTGAGAGCAGCATGAAGGCTCTGCAGCAGCTGGTGGATCCTGACGCCATGTGCAGCAGCAGCAGCAGTAGCAGCAGCGCGGGGTGAGCCGGGAAGCTGTGGGCGGTGTAGAATAGCTGCGGGTGCTGCTGCTGCACAACTGGCAGCAGCGAGACCCCAAATAGCAGCAGCTGCTCTGCTTTACGCTGCAGCATCCAGCGCGCCTCGTTCCATATGCCAGCTTCTTCTGCTGCTGCTTCGAGGTGCGCCTGCTGCTGCTGTTGCTGCTGCTGCTGCTGCCTTGCGGCCCCCGCACCTGCTGCAGCAGCAGCAGCAGCATCGGCGTGCTGCATGAAGATGCATGCAGCCTTTAGAGACCAAACTGCGCGGTGAGAGATACAGATAGGAGAAGGGACAGGACAGGGGCCCCCAAGCTGCAGAATAAGCTGCGCATACACCTGACAGGCGCACCCTAAGGGCCCTACTTCCATGTCTCCTTGCTTCGGTGGAGGTGCAGCACAGACGTTCAGCCGCTGCAAAGAAGAGACAACTGTCTCTTCTCCTCGCGTCATCAGCAGACAGCACTGCAGGGACAGAGCATCCACAGCTCCCCACAAAAACAAGTCCTCCGCACTCCACTGCTGCTGCTGCTGCTGCTGCCACTGGTGCTGCTGCTGTAGCTGCTGTAGCTGCTGCTGCCACTGCTGTTGCTGCTGCTGTTGCTGTTGCAGCTGCTGGCATGAAGAGGAGAAGAAAGGAGGAGGGTGAGATAGGGGGGCCTCTAAGACCCGCTGAACGGCGGCGGAGAGACACCTGCGGCTTCTCTCTGGGAGAGACAACAGACGGAGACACTGCTGCTGGCAGTCCCTCCTTAGCACTGACTGCTGCTGCTGCTGCTGCAGCTGCAGCTGCTGTTGAAGGGGAGGAGCAGCAGCAAAGGAAGACATGAAAGGGTCTGGCAAGAGGGGAATGGAGAGTTTTAAAGCCTTATATATAACAGACTGCAGCGCATGCAGAGCAACTAGAGGTTCATCACGCTGTTTGTCTTTGTCTTTGTTTGTCTCTTGTCCGCCATCGTTCTCTGTCTCCTTCTCTGTCTCCTTCTCTGCCTCTTCCGACCCCTGCTGCTGCTCTAAAGCAGCAGCCAAAGCCCTTGCTGCATGCGCCAGCAGCAGCAGCCGCAGCGGCAGCGACATCTCTTCCCCCGCACAAAGCACAGGAAAGGAGCCTCGAATCAACTGCTGCTGCTGCTGCTGCTGCTGCTGCTGCTGGCCTTGGTGGTCTTGGTTTGGTTTGTGTTTGAGGTGTATATTCAGCAAGCGCTGTGCAGCAGCAGGCAGCATCTTGGCTAGCCCCTTTGCTCCTGCTTGCGGGTGCTTGATAGGCAGCGTTTTGTTTAAGAGGAGAGAGCAGAGCTGCGTAATAAATCTGTCTCTCTTCCTCTTTACTTTTGCTGCTGCAGCAATCAAACCCGGCAGCAGCACCGCCTTCAGGTGTACAGACACCTCAGCACTTGTTAATCCCTCCACAAGAGACATATACGACACCCGGCCTGTTGCTCTCCTCAGCAAGCTGCCAATACACTCCAACACTGCAAACCGCAGCCCCGGCCCGACCAATATAACTTCTCCTTCCCTCACCTCTTCGTAAGACAAAGACGCGACCCCACCAGCTGCAGCAGCAGCAGCAGCAGCTGCTGCTGCTGCTGCAGCGGGAGCAGCGTCAGCATCGGCTGTTAGAGCGGAACCAGTAACATCAGCAGCAGCTGCTGCAGCAGCAGCATTTGCTGTCTTCGGAAACAGCAGCACAGGGAAAGTGATGCCTACGACTGCAGGTAGAGGCAAAGGAGATTCGCCAGAAAGAGGAGGAGCTGCATGTACACCAGAGAAGCAAGCTTTGAATTCCTTTGCAAAGTCAAATGCATACTGTCCATACACCACATGACTGGGAGGAACTCTTGCTGCAGCTGCTGCAGCTGCTGCAGCTGCTTCTGGAGCGGCTGCGGGGGCGCTTGCTGCTGTTGCTGCTGCTGGTGCTGCTGCAGAAGATGAAGAAGAGGAAGTAGCAGCAGCAGCAGCTGCTGCAGCAACCGAGAGTCTAAGCCGCTTGCTGCCATTAGGCCCCTTAAAAAGATAAGAGATTACAAAGGAAAGAGAACGAAGAAGAGCAGGGAGACAGGTGCTGAGTGTATGAGTAGCTAAGGGGTCTGTCTCCTTAGAGACAAAAAAATGTAATAAAGCAGAGAGCTTCGCAGCCAGCAGCAGCACTGCACACACCACAAACAAGCACAGAAGAATTAAATAAATAAATAAACAAATAAATAAATTAAATAAATAAATAAATAAATTAATTAAGAGAAAATGCAGAGACTGAGAGAACGAGGTGCAGACAAAAGGCATAAAAAACAAAGATAGAGAAGACGAAAGACAAAGACAAGAAGCAAAGACAAGCAGACAAACAAAAACATAAAAAGAAGAAATCAGCAAAAAAGATATACACACAAAGACAAGCAGACAAACAAAGCACAAAAAGAAATAGACGAAAGAAGAAGAGATAAGGAGGCAAACGCGCAAAGACGTAAACAAAGAAGCAGACAAATAAACAAACAAACAAACAAACAAACAAACAAACAAACAAACAAACTAACTAACTAACTAACTAATACGCAAGCAATAAGGAGAGCATGCAGGTGAAGCTACAAACACAAGCCGAGTATACAAATATACAAACAAACAGCAGCATATGCTGGTAGTCAGCTAGACAAAGACAAGCAAACAAAAACGTGCAACAACCACGAGTGAATTCTGCTGCTGCTGCTGATGCTGCTGCTGTTGCAGCTGCTGCTGTTGTTGGGTGTATGCACTGAATGGCGGTCTTAATATTGTTGTGGTTGTTAAGTGTTTACAGCATCGGCTTACTTCTGTCTTCTTCTGTCTCCTCTTGTATGTACGCTGCCTCCCCAGCAGCTGCAGCAGCAGCAGCAGCAGCAGGTGAAGGAGCATCAACAGAAGATGGATGAATCCACGCTTCTATCGCCCTGACTGCTGCTTCCTCAAGAGACACTTGAGGTGTATCTGCAGCAGGGGGCCCTAAGGCCTGCTCTACTGCAGCAGGTAATAGCGGCTTAAAGAGCAGCTCCCGTGGTAGCTGCACACGGAAGACAGGTCTTTGCTGCTGCTGCTGCTGGTGCTTCTGCTGCTGCTGCTGTTGCGGCTGTTGCTTCTGCTGCTGTTGCTGCTGGTGTTTATGCTGCTGTTGCTGGTGTTGCTGCTGCTGCTGTGCAGCAACAGCAGCAACCGGGGGGGCCCCCCCTCGCTGTTGCTGCTCTGTCATCTGTGCGCTGTTGCTTCTGTCTCACTGCATTGAAAAGAAAAAGAAAATAAATCAATAAAATGTCTAAACAAAGGAGCAAATAAAACTTGTAAAGGCTCTGAGGTGCAGCGACAGGGCAAACTGGTCTGTGCTGCTGCACATGCAGGCCCGGCAGCAGCAGGGACAGCAGCAGCAGCAGCAGCAGCAGTAGCAGTAGCAGCAGCAGTAGCAGCAGTAGCCGTCGATGCAACGAAATCTACATCCTTCTATTCAATAAAGCATCTTTCAGGGTCTCTCAGATCTTCTCCTTTTCCCTCTAAACCCTAAACCCTAAACCCTAGACCCTAAACCCTAAACCCTTGACCCGCCTCTGGAGGCCCCAAAGAATCGAACGTGCCTTTCTTCTCTTCCACGCAAACCCTTGCAGATCTAAGGCAAACATCGCCGCACATTATATCCCAAACCCTAAACCCTAAACCCTAAACCCTAAACCCTAAACCCTTAGAATGACTGTACGCATATCGGGGGGCCCCTCCAGGGCCCCCAAGCGAGCGGCTCGTAGGGGGGCCCCCCGCGCTCGCGAAGAAAACCTGAATGAGAGCAGCGATGAAGAGATAACATCAAGCAGCAGCAGCAGCAGCAGCGAAGAAGAGACAGACAGAAGCAAAGGCAAGAGGCTGCAGCTGGATGAGGGTCTGTTGCGGCAAGTCCGGAAGGTGCAGCAGCAGCAGCAACAACAGCAGCAGAAGCAGAAAAAGAAGCAACGGCTGCTGCTGCTGGGATTAGGGGGAGAAAAAGGTCAGCAGCAGCAGCAGCAGCGGAAGGCGCAGCAGCTGAAGCTGCAGCGCCAACTGCATGCAAAACTAATTGGCGTGAGGGTCTCTACTAACACGGCCCTCCGTTTAGCAAACAGAATCCCTGCAGCAGATGTGCTGCAGCTGCTGCAGCAGCAGCAGCAGCAGCAGAAGACAGAAGCAGCACTTCGTACTGTCAGGAAAGAAGCAGCACGGACCTTCGTGCTGCTGCGTCAGCTGCAGCAGCTGCTGCTGCAGCAATCTTCTCTCTCTGCTGCTTTCGCCGCAGCATCGAGTGACAAATCAACGGCAGCAGCAGCAGCAGCTGCTGCTGCTGTTGCAGAAGGAGGCTGGCAGCAGCGAAGAGACAAATACAAACAGCAGCAGGCAACAGGAGGTGAAGCAGATGTGTGGAGGCTGCTGGCTGAGGGGCCCTCAGCTAACTCTCTTCGTTCTGTCTGTCTTTCGAATATTGACGCTTGGCATCAACAAACCTTTGCAGCAGTAAACCCTAAACCCTAAACCCTAAACCCTTAACTGTACCCCTAATCCCTAGCAGCTACACCCTAAACCCTAGCTGTGAAACCCTAAACCCTCGCTAAAACTACATGAGAGAAGGGATAGTAGAGACCACATTTGACAAACAAACAAAACAATTTAATATGCAAACAAAACAAAGAAATGAAAGGAGAGAGAGAAGATCAACGCATGCGTATAAAAACAACAGCTATCTCTGCACCCGGGTCTTTCGCTTATAGCCTTGTTGTATTCCTTTGGGGTTTAGGGTTTAGGGTTTAGGGTTTAGTTGGGTGTTTAGTTGTGGCGACTTTATTCAAACAGGAATGCGTGTATTAATCCTTTTCTTTTATAGTGTTTATTTCTTTTTTATATTGTTGTGTTGCTGCAGAAAGACAAAAGATTTTCTGTCTTTCACCAGCCGGTGTCTGTACAGCTGAAAACAGCAATGGAGAATGAAGAAGAAAAGCTGCTGCAGCGATGTCTTCATTATTGTTGGGCTTGCAATAAAGAAGTTGTTGAGCAGAGCAAGCAGAGTGCAGATAAAGAGAAGGAGACAAGCAAAAAGGAGGAAGGAGACAGAAATACTAAGGAAGAAGAACCCACAACAAATACACAAAAACTTCCTTGTTCAGTTATTGCATGCGCAGAGATGAAGAAAGCAAAAATAGAAACTCAACATCAAATATTTGATGATACTGTACGGCGTTCAAATTCTTTATTAATGCTATCTTTCTCTTTATTCCTATTCATGCTCTCTTCTTGACTTGCTGCTTTTACAGTATGATTGTTTCTTTAATCTGTTCAATTTTTAATGTAGTTTATTTTATTTGTCTGTTTGTTTCTTTCTTTCTTTGCGCTCTTAACAATTTGTTTCTCTCTTTGCTCTCAGTATTTGAATGGCGTTGTGCTGATAAATTTATTTTTTTTTGTTTTTCTTCGTTTTTGTCTGCTCAGGATTTCTATGTGGAATTGCTGAAGGCCTCGGTGGCTGCAGGAGAGGGGCAGTAAGCAAATAATAAACCTTTTCAATATTTTTAACTTACAAACCCTTATTAGAAGCACCTCCTAGAAACCGAAAACCCTAAACCCTAAACCCTGAAGGCTATACTCTAAACCGTGAGGAGGCAAAGCAATGAAACTGACTTTCAGGGTCAGGGTCTACGGTTTAGGGTTTAGGGTTTAGGGTTTAGGGTTTAGGGTTTGTTGTTTTCAGGGTGGAGGCTTCTACTCTGACTCGCGAAACGGCATTACTAACAGCAAAAAGGAAGGCCAGTGGTTCGTTTCTCGCTTACCCTTTTGTGTTCTTCGTAGTTTGCCAGGATTAGCAGGGTTTAGGGTTTCCTGTGTAGGGTTTAGGGTTTAGGGTTTAGGGTTTAGGGTTTAGGGTTTAGGGTTTTGTTATCAGGGAAGATAGTCGATCGGCGGGCTTCCAAAGGACGCAAAATTCGGTACAAGCCAATACCCCAGCTGGAAAGTTTTGCTGTAAGTTGCTGCTGCTGAACAAAGACAGGAGCTCCTTAAGGGGATAATAGATAAAGACTTTTGCTTTGTGCAGTATTTTTATTAAAAAGAGCTAATAGGCAGCTTCCATGGTTTATTCTAAAGGGGTTTAATGGCTGTCACCTGAATCTTTTCCAGCAAAGTTTAGGGAATATAATAATAATAATAATAGTAATAATAATAATAATAATAATAGAGTAATAATAGTAGTAATATAGTAGTATTAAGGAGATATGGTTAGGCGTGCATTGCCCTGAGACACCGCAGTAATTGTATTCATAAACTTCATAATAATGCTGCATATTCTCTGCTTTTTCGTTATGTTGGTGCATTCGTTTATTAGGGTTTATCTTTACCCGTTGCATTCCCAGGGGTTTTCAGTAGGGTTTAGGGTGTAGGGTTTGCGTTTGTTACTGGGCCCTCAGACAGCAGTCCCGTGGACTCCAGACACAGACGCGCTGCCAGGAGCCGACGACCCCTTAGTAGTTGAAGGGCTTATGAATAACCTCTTCGCCGCCACCTAATCGCACAGCTAGCTGTGCAGCTAGCCACCCCAGCTTGCCTCCCCGATTCATTGCAGCTTGCTGCAGCGCGATCGTACAGCTAGCTGCAACGACTAGTACAGCAAGCTGCACCAAGCTATGGTAGCTGGCTGCAGCTAGCCACCCCAGCTAGCTGGCCAGAGCCACTGCAGCTAGCCGCAGCGAGGTGGTATAGCTAGCTGCACCGAGGCAGTACAGCTAGCTGCAACAAACCTTTCCAGGTGGCTGGAGGCAGTGGTGTTTGCATCTGGCCGTATGGGGATTGGGAACCCTGCCGTTGCGAATCGTAACGACAGTACAACTGATTTAGCTAGCTAGCTAGCTAGCTAGCTAGGTTAAACACCAGCTGTATCTTGCGCACAGACAGCTTAAGCCCATTCCAGCGGGCGGACAATTAGCAATATGTGCAGCTAACTAGCTAGCTAACTAGCTATCCAGCTAGCTAGCTAGTTAGCTGGTTAGGGGTAGCAGGCTGGCCAGCTAGCTGCAGCTTGTGCAGTCCCGCTAGGTCCTTTTACTTCGCTGCGAGTGATGCTGATGATAATTAGTGATGCGGGCTTTTAGGGGGAAGAGAGCGCGAGAACAGCAAAAGAACACAGTAAAGCCTTAGGCGGCGCCAACTCAGGTGTATAGACACCTCAATATACTCTTTCTTTTTCTCTCACTCTTTACCCTAACCCGAGTATTTAGATGGCCCTTAAGCTCCACCTTCAGCAGCAGGAAATGCAAATTCGAGGCCTCTTCCGAACCCCCAACTCTAAAGCAACCCACTAACTTAGCCCGTATCTGAGCGAACAGGAAGCCCTTTCGCTGGCTTTTGCCTCCTTTCACGCTAAGCCTTTGAATAAACAACTATTTATTCTGTTCCCAGGCGGTGTAAATGAACTCTATATCGGTTATAAGCTCTACCCCCCATTCACGCCCGTAGTAAAGCCCCTAGAGCCGCATTCGTCGTCTGCATCTCTGCTGCAAATGATGCTGTAATTAATTGTCATTAAAAACCCTAATAAACAAATCCTTACTTAAACTCTGAACCCCCTTTTCGTTTGCATGTTCACTCACCCCTTGGCGCCGGGACAGAAAAACAAAAAGATGGTGCGGCGTTGGAGTTGGGGTTTTGTTAGTGTTGTGCGTTTATAGGGGTTATTTGCGTTGTGCTGTGTTGAATTAAAATATATTTCTGCTGTGCAAGCTCAGCTCATTTCTGCTGCCTCAGCAGAAGCACACATATACATACAGCAGGCGTTGGTAGTTGTTCTCCGCGTCGTTTGTCTGCGTCGCTGATTTCTTCTGTCTTTTTCTTGTTCATGAGGATATCACTATTTACTTTCTTATTTAGATCCTTGTATATTTATATCAATGAAGTGAGACAGCCCTTCAGCTCTTCCTCTGCGAGCTACCCGTCTTCACGTTCCTCACAGCCTCGGCGATTGTTTCCTTCTGCAGCGGCAGCAGAAAAAACAACAAGAAATATAAATAATAATATTAAGAGCCAACATAACAGCAAAGGCACACAAAATAATCCACAAAAAGAATCCACAACGAGCAAAATGCAAGCGAGAAAAACAAGCAACATTACCTTCAGAATCAACAAAATTCATTTGCAAGTATACATCAAGAGTTGAAAAGAGCATGAAAATACGCCGAACACAACCGGGAGAGTGCACGCAACAAAAGGAAAAACAAATAAACGAATAAACGAAAACAAACTCCGAACTAATAACATGATCGTGACGAAACCACGGTCTCCAACCCCCTGAAGCCTTCGTTCTTAGCCCCTAACTAAACCCTAAACCCTAAACCCTAAACCCTAAACCATGGGACGGCAGGCTTACAAGTCCCTCGAACGCCTGGAAGGAGGCAACGAGGAGTTGGGGGTCTGTGATTTTCTGTCCGTCTTCATTTAAGACAACGATACTATTGCTGTCAATGAGTGGCTGGAGTTGTTTGCTGTTGAACAGCGAAATAATATTTTCTGTTTCTTCTTTTTCTGTTTCTGTATTAGATGCCTGGCACCAGTGGCTGTACACCTGAGCCTCTGCTTTATGACCCTTTTCCTTCTCCTGCATCACCTTTATAAACTCGTTCGGCTTCACCTCTTCTGCTTCACCAAACCGGCTGTACATTTCCTTGAAATACTCTTCAAATACCTCTCTCTGAGGATCATCTGATCGAAGCCGCCTCAAAAACGCCTGAGAAGCACATTCCCCTTCGCTGCAGAACCTAAGCCAACAAACAAAACAGAAAAAGCAACACACGATAGTGCATCTACCTGCGAAGAAAACTTAGAAAAAGAAACGAAACAAGTAAATAATAAAGCATAAAACCAATAATAATAATAATAACAATAATAATAATAATAGTAATAATAATAATCATGGTGATAGTCGGCGAAGGAGGCCAACGAGGAAGAAATGATACAAAAATGAAAAAACTAATGCACTTTAATGAATGCATAAAACCCCGAGACAGTATACATGCGACCATTGAAGGAAACCAACAAATAGGTCTAAAGAACGGCAAGTGGTATTTGAACAAAAGCGAAGGGAAAGATAAGAAGCAAAGAAGCAAGAAGCAGACACACATCAAACAAATAAGTGAAGCATGCAACACCAAAACGTTTGAAAGGGAGAACGTGATTAAAAAAGACAAGTACTGGAGCCATCACGCACCAGTGCTCTCCTCTCTGTTCAAGAATATCAGCAAAACACTCAAAGACAGTCGCATACGCCGGGTTAAGCCGCTGGCCTGTCATAGTTAGATGGTCCTGCAAGGAAGCAGCAAAGAAAGTCAGCAAAGTTGCGGTGTATAGGCAGCTTTCTACAGCAACTGCAAGACACACAACAAGTCGCTTTATGAAACAGGGGAAAGGAAAAAACTAAACGCAGGATATACAAAATAAAGGTTGGCTTCGCTGTTCTTCTTTGCATCTGCTCTTCTTCTTGCTTTTGTTTGTCTACTACTTGCCATCCTTTTGTATTTGCGTTTGCAACTGAAAGACGCATTTTTTGGTCTATTCCAATGGCCGCCTATGCATTATCTCGGTCTTTATATATTCATAAAAGAGTAAAGCTATCAGGGCTGCATGCGCTCCTCTGAAGCCCCAACTAACGACAAAAACGTAACAACTCCTTTAAAACCTTTTTTTCCTTCGCGACTGAACTTGTTCTACTTGCCTGAACTCTGACTATTTCTTGCATCATCTGCGTGTCGTGCGGTGTATATGCACATCGCTGCCTCCCCTCTTCCTTCCCCCAACAGTCTCCGTAAGATGGAGTGTATGTGCAGCTGATTCGTTCATTCATTCCCTCTAGCCAACTGTTCAGTGCGTGTACAGGCGTTCAATGCAGGGCTATGGCTGTGTTGTGTGAAGAAGTGCGGTGTACATCTCCTTGAGGTGTATACGCACCATGATACGGGTAAGAGAGTTCTTTGGGGTAGGTATTTTTCTCGCGTTTTTGTGCGGGAGGTAGAAGAGGGCATTGACGTCATCTCCTAGACAATACCATTTACCTTGTGCATCGTCTGTCTTCATGACAGTGATTGCAGAGCGCAGGGAGAAGCAGGGAATAAATGGATCGCACAAGAAGCTGTAAGAGGCCATTAGACGGCCTACAGCAGCAGAAACATTAGCAGCTTCTCTTGTGAAGTGCTTCATTAGGTGCCCGCCTAAGTCATGCTCCAAGTCTAATGGCAGCAAATCTAACGGTTGCTCTCGAGACAGAGCAGCTGTCTGAAAGGCCGAGCGGCGCCGCTGGGCCTGCAAAGAAAATTCAAGAAAACTCAGCAGCAAACAACAAAAGAAATTCATTCATGCGCCAACAACCCGAGAGACAATAAAGCACAAACATGTTTAGAAACAGATAACAAACCAGACGAAGAGAAGACAGCCACACAAACAAACCCTAAAACCCAACCACATTAAAAGGAAGCTCAGAAGGAAAGGCAGCAGAGACGAAAAAGAAAGGAAGCAAAGAAAAAAAAACAAAGAGAAAATAGAGGGAGTTAAAGAGGCCAGCAAATGAACCGGCATCAACAGAAGAAAACAAAGAAGCACAAAGAAGCACAAAGACTGAAGAAACAGCGACACCCATGCCGAGACACACAGACACACCGCAGCAGCAGCAGCAGCAGCACTCGCTGCAGCAGCAGCAGCAACATACACTACAGTAGCAGCAGCAGCACTCTGTACAGCGGCAGCAGCAGCACCATGCGCAGCAGCAGCAGCAATCACTACAGCAGCAGCAACACTCGCTACAGCGGCAGCAGCCGCAGCACTCGCTCGAGCAGCAGCAGCAGCATTCGCTGCATCAGCAGCAGCAGGAAGCCCAAGATGAGGAGAGACCCCCTGATTAGTAGTAAACCGACTAAGGCGTCTTGGATGCATGTAAAGAGAAGAGAGATGCATGCAGAAAGACAGAGTCTTAGCTCAACTCAGCTTATTTCCTCACCACAGACAAAAATCGGTATCGCTGATCTTCAATGTCTCCCAGCCACTGCCAAGGAATTAACTCAGGAAAAAAACGGTAGTCGCCGCCCGTACGAATCAAATAATATAACATGTGCTCTAAAAACGCCTTCCTAAACAAACAAACAAACAAACAAATTAACAAACAAACAAATTAAGAAAAATAATATATACACATATATGCATATATATATATATATGTATAAGCATATGTATATATATATATATGCATATCTATATGCATATGTATATATATATATATATATATACATATATATATGTATATACATATATGTATATATACATATATACATATATGTGAATATTGCAGTGCAACATGTTCGATATAAATGTCTTTGTCAATAAGCAAACAAATACATGAAAAAAGATTATAATGTGCATCATATGTGCTGTAAACGTCTTTCTAAACAAACAAACAAAGTCAAGAAAAGGCTAATGTAATGCATTATATGTTCTATAAACACCTCTCCAAATAAACCAACAAAGAGACAAAGAAATAAAACGAAATAAATACACTATAAGCTCAACAATGTCTGTCTTTTAAACAAACAAACAAAGAAAAAAGCAAGAAAATAAAAGCCCTAATAACTGAGTCGGCACTGCGAAAAAAGAGATAGAGTAAGCAGAAATATTATTTTAATAAAAGAGAAATGAAGAAAAAGTAAAACATTAAATCAGAGAGGTCAAGAAGAAGTGCAAAGGAGACAAAAATAAAACAGACAAAGCAAAGACAGTGAAGATTAAAAAAAATAAAATCAAAACGACAGATATAAACAACACGGAGACGGCGTCTGAAACAAACGCAAACAAGCAGCAGCACCATCACCAGCAGCAGCAAGAACAAGCAGCAAGATCGACAGCAGCAGCAGCAGCAGCAGCAGCAGCAGCAGACGAAAGTAGCTCTTCTTCTTGCCTGTGTATATCGTAGTACTCCCATGAAGGGAGAGTATCCATGAAGTTATAAAGAAGAGGGGTATCTGATCGATCGTTAAACTTATCTACGCGCTTATGCCAATCTTTACGTGCCTCCTCGCATACAGCCTTCATCAACAAACACACGCAAACAACATGCTGCTGCTGCTGCTGCTGCCGCTGCTGCTGCTGGTGCTGCTGCTGCTGCTGGTGCTGGTGCTGCTGCTGCTGTTGCTGCTGCTGCTTCGGGTTCTGCAGATGCTGCTCATGCTGCTCGAGATGGTGTGCTCGTGGTGCTGCCGCTGCTGCTCCTGCTGCCGGCACTGCTGCTGCTGCGGTTGTTTGTGTCCTCACAACAAGCGCTGCTGCTGCTGCTGCTGTTGCTGCTGCTGCTGCTGCTGTTGTTGTTGTTGCTGCTGCTGCTTACTGGACTTTCAGGATCTGCAACTCCTGGTTGGTACTGAGAGTAGAAGAAGTGTTTCTCTACAAACGCCTGCCAATACAAATCTGAATCCAACCACTGCAGCAGCAGCAGCAGCAGCAGCAGCAGCAAGAACAGCAGCAACAGGAAAGAAGCAGAGTAAGGGAGCGAAGCAGAAAAGAGAGAAAGGCGATAGTGAAGCCTTCAGCAATATTAGCGTGAGTAAATAACAACAAAATAAACAAAGGAAAAACAAGCAGATACACCGCAAATACATTAACTCCGTCTCCCCTTAATAAAGAATCAAACAAAGACAGGAAACAACAAACATCCTAAGTAGTAATAACAAACAATAATTATTTATTACTTATTATTTATAATAAATAATAATATTTTATTATTACTACTCATTCTTATATTGAATAATAATAATAATAATACATTGTTATATATTGCTACTTTCGTATATTCACCTTTAAACTACTTATAATTCTTACTGCATGCGTATTACAAAGAAAGTATTTAAAAAGCATTATTATAATGCAAACAAGTCAAAGAAAACACAAACCTCATTTGTATTCAGAGCCGATAAAGGCGGGTTATGATAAGATATCCATAGAGCTGCAGCGCCTTTATTTAAAATATCTTCAGACTGCTGCACTGCAGCAGAACAACTTTTAATAGCATTTTCTAATAAACTCCAATTCTTATTATTCTCATCTTTGTTTATTATTTGCTGCCGCTTCTTATTCAACTCCTCAGCTGACAGCAAATGTCTGTACACACGCTCCTGCTGCTCGTAGTGCGCCCGCAGACTGCACCCATACACAAACCACAAACCCTAAACCCTAAACCCTAAACCCTAAACCCTCAACTTGCGACAAACCCTAAACCCTAAACGCCAAATTATGGAAGATGCAAATTGCTCAGCCCACAAAACCCGCAGCTAAACTCTTCAACTACCTTCTACAAGAAAACCCTAAACCCTAAACCCTAAACCCTAAACATCTTACACCCCAGCTGCAAAACCCTAATCCATACACAGACTTCAAGCCGTTAACCTAAGGGCCCCTAAACCCTAAACCCTAAACCCTAAACCCTAGCCAGGGCGTTTACCATTTGACGAGGTCTTTGTGCGCGATTTCGTTTTCCCAGTGGGCCCAATCGATGGACATAGTTTTATGTTTATCTTCTTCTACTCTTTTGCATGCGTTATTAATTTGCTGCTCTGTCTGTTTAATTACCCCCCAAGCATCTTGGTTTGATCTTTCAACGAATTGACCCAAACCACTCCACGTCGAAAACCCTCGAGAAAACGATTGCCAGGCCCTCCCACAGGGCCTGAACACACGCACATCTCAAAGGGTTTAGGGTTTAGGGTTTAGGGTTTAGGGTTTGCAAAAGGGGATGCGACAGTGGGCCCGCAGAAGTAAGCAGCAGCGACTGCTGCTGCTGTTGCTGCTGCAGATGCAGCTCCGCGTCAGTCGAGATAAGAGTTGGCTGCTAGCGCAGCCACTAGCAGCATCAGCAGCAACAGCAGCGACAGCTGCAACAGCTGCTACTGCTGCTGCTGCTGCTGTTGTTATATTGCTGTTTTGCAAGACACTGCTGCTGTGTGTGTTGCTGACCTTCTGAGAATATTCATGTTGCTGGAGAAAGAGATAAAAAGAAGAAGAAAAACAAGAGAAGCAGCAAAGAGTTGAAATAAATACCCAACCCTGCATGCACTCAAGACTCGGTAGGCCAGGGCCTCCTAATAAACAACAGACAGCCAAGTCTGCTGTTCTTCCCTAAACACGCAGTTGTTATTTCAAACAAATCAATTTAAATACCTTTATCTTAACACACTCAAGCTCAATCTTCTTGTCTAAGAGACCTGCATGCGCAGCCCCAGACGAAGAAGACATGAGGGGTATAGTAGAGGGCTCTTCAACGAAATTGCAGCGAAATGTGCAAAACAAAAAGAAATAAAAGTATTTTTAATTTAAAATATTAAACAATAATAACTCATTAATATGATGAGAGTTCTATAGCGGCTAATAATCTCGATTAACTCCGAGTTTCTATCGGAATATCTACTCGTTAGTCAAAGTTAAGAATCAGTTATATGATTGTCTACGGTGTTTGTGCATGCAGCTAATGGGGCTGGAATTGCATGCAAGTAAGCGTAAAGTGCAGCATTAGACCCAGCAAGGTGTGCAGCAAATGACGGCAGTTCATCTCCTATTAGGCTGCCTTAGAGGCCTCTAGGTTCGAGTGCAGCCACCGACTTTTAATATTTTTTTCAAGAAATAATTTTATTTGTACTATTAATATTAGTATAGGGAGCTCCTGTCTTAAGCCTTTTGGCTCTAATACACTGCACGCCTGTTTTCAGCTAAGTTCAAGGCCTCTCTTTACACGTGAGGCTGCGAAGAAGAGCCGTCACCTTCTAAAGAACTGCATATTTCCTTGCTACGACTGCAGCCTTTGTTTGAAGGGGCTAATTATTATATCATGTTCTTATGCCGACTAGCAGATAACCGTTGCTGCACTGTACGATAGTAGTAAGGCGTACGTACAGTACTGTGCAGCTGATAGCAAGGCGCTCATAAGCACATGCTCAATACATTAAAACCTGAAGTTGGAGAAGCAAACCTAAGGGAATTTGTAGCATACTATATGCTACAGCGCTGTGCAGCTCAGTACTGTATAGCGTTGAAAAATTAAACTTAAAGGGGGCCCACGGCAACGTGGCCGAGTGGTTAAGGCGGTGCCCTGCTAAGGCATTGGGTTCTGCCCGCGTAGGTTCGAATCCTGCCGTTGTCGCTTTGATTTATCTGAGCCCTATGTCTTCATTTTAATGCAGATTTTGAGTTTTATGGGAGTAAAGACCCTGTGTTGGCTGCCAACAACGAGGATGAAGAGTTAAGATTCCGATACTTCGGGCTCCGCCAGCAGTGCTATTTAGGTATATCACAAGCAATGGGTGAGAAGAGCAGTGGATCCACCCAGAAGCAGATTAACCAACTGCATGCAGCATATAAGATTGCATGCATGCATGCATGCATGCACCAGAGGATATATTTTGCAAAAGTGAAGCCGTCGTGTGCTGCATGTGCAGGCATTCTACATGGCTCATTTAGGCCAGCCAGAGCACATTGGCTCTCGTTGGTTCCTCTCTGTCAAAGGATTGTATGAGGTTTTATTCGTTAAACAGATGCATACCAAACCTTCATCCGGCCATTAAACTATATATCTTATTGCAAATATAGCATTCACAGGCCTAGCTTACATCATATTCCAGGCGTAGGCGATATGGTAGAAATATCAATGAAACCGGACAAAGTTGCATGCGAGCTCAACATCATCTTTAAAGTCGGTTCTCAACACTGAGGCTTTACTGCTCATGTCGTCAGAAGTAAGTCCTTCTTGACTTGGAGGCATGTATTCTCCTGAGCTCAGACCCTTTAGTGCCGCCTAATTCCAAGACCAAATCCTCATTCAGAACTCACTGAGTAAGATACTGGTGAGCTGGAACCGAAGCTGTCTACGGACACCACAAATATGCATGGCTTGACCCGAGCCAAATACTATGTCTCGCTAGGTTTAACTGGCTAGCTAGAAGAGGCAGGCTGTAGGTAGCTGCAGCGAAGGAAATGAATGGGAGGCAAATTAAACTTTACCGCACCCCCCATGGATCTTGCTTCCAAGAAGCCACAACACTGTTGATAATTGTTAAGGATTGATGGCCTTAAGCATCCGACTACCGCTCTGCGCCCCGGCAACGTGGCCGAGTGGTTAAGGCGGTGCCCTGCTAAGGCATTGGGTTCTGCCCGCGTAGGTTCGAATCCTGCCGTTGTCGCTTTATTTTTGTGAACATTATACGTGGATGCCTGCGGTATGCATTAGAATATGCAAAAACGCTGCAGCGACGCCCAAAGCTGAATATAATAGAAATCCCTGCAGGGGGTCAGGTAGGTTGTCAGTCCTGAACATCGGAATCTTTTGCTGCATGGAGGTTTTATTGGTGGCATAAAGATTATTCAAGAGCTCCTTCTCGCGTACGTCTTTAACCAAATACAAGAGTGAACTTAGACGCTCTAATTCGCGCTAGGGGGCCAACAGACGCCTTGAAACAATGATGGGTGCTGCGCCAGGAATGAGTTTGATGCTGCGCTTTAAGCCTCTAGCCGGAGGCTGGTCCGGTGCAAACTACTTGTTATTCTATATGTCAGCGAAACCCTCTTTCAGCTCCGTTCCTTTATGCTGTTTCTCTGTTGCTAAGTGGATCGAATCCTCTTAAACTAAAGTCCTCATAAGACCGTCACAACGGATTGCACGCAATTATTCATCGTTTCCTGCAGCGCTTCTGCATTTCGTTGGATCATCACCGTCTTTTTTCCTGTGGATACAAATGCCGTTGGGATTTCTGTTGGTTGCAATTCTGCACTGCATTCGGGCAAATAGACCTCAATAGCGAAGTCTGGAGGCTGAAAGCGCTCCCTTTTCTGAGTTACCCATACCATGCTCAAACCTATCTCATGATAAACTGATCCAACACACAAGCCACGCATCAAGGTAATAAAACCCTTTTCTGCAGCTGGCACGCATTACCAGCCCAATGCCCCGCGGATTATCTCGCCCTGTACGTCATAGACGAAGCGCTATCGAAGAGAAGACGCCAATGAATAAAGAGGTAAGTTTCAGCTGCGCGGTGTTGTTGCAGATTACAAATAGCCTTCCCCCCCTAATGCAAGATAGCTCAAGCCAATCTTGACGAAGGAACTTCTTTATACCCTTTTTAAGTTTACTCGGGCCGGATTTGTAGTGGCAGCTGTCACCTCCTTTGGCCCCATTACAGCGCCGCACGTTGAGTAGGCGTCAGCCGCCAGGGAGTTTCTCTTTGTTTTGTTTGTTCTCCTGGCTTCATGACTCGAAGTCTTGCCTTTTCACTTCCTTTATTCCTTCCCAGAAGCTGCATGTTTGGTCACTGTGAACTTGTTCATTGCAAAAGGAGCAGATACACCGCTCCCTCCCTTCCCCCGGCTTCCCGAATGCAGGATTCGCTTGGTGTCTTCTGTCATTTTTACCTTTTTTCTTCTGGGTGAAGCGGGCTTTCACAGCCCCACTTGCAATTGGCTCTGTATGTTCTTTAGCATCAAAGCTGTCTTCTTCCTTCTCCTGTAGGGCGGTAGATGTTTGATGCTTGCGTACTCTACCATCTCGGCGAGCATTAGACTTTCACCATTTAAGTTGCTCTCTACAGATCAGCCGGTTAGCGGGCCGGCTACCGATTGCTGCTCTTCCGGGGATAATAGCCCTGCTATGAACTCTATAGAAGCTGCAACTCTGACGTTGTGCTTCAGTTTTCTAAGAGCTGATCCTTCGCAATAATGCGCTGCTGTATCGATAGCTTTGGCTTGACTTAAGGGATATACTAGTGGTAGGTTGTAGCATGCATTATCTATCTGCAGCAGAAGAAGAGGCTACTTCGCAGACGCAGCTCTGTAGAATGCCGCAGGCTTCTGCTTAAACTCTAAAAGCTGCAATATATTTAATAACTGCCTCTTTGAATGAAGGCCTGCAGCATAAGGGATAGCGCCTGCGTCTCGGCAACGTGGCCGAGTGGTTAAGGCGGTGCCCTGCTAAGGCATTGGGTTCTGCCCGCGTAGGTTCGAATCCTGCCGTTGTCGTTTTATATATTATTTAATTTAAATTCTTATTGTTTCGCTTATATATATATATCAATATATATACACTGCAGGTCTTACACTAAACAAAGTAAAATTGTTTAAATAATTAACGCCCAGCCTTGCGATTCAAAGGCCCTCGCTCCGGCCTCTGTTAGAAGGCCCGCTAGCGAGGCAATAAATAAATAAACAAATACCAAAAACACGCCGAACTAAGCAACGCATGCATGCATGCATGCACGCACCAATTCATGCATGCATATCTGCATGCATGCAAATCTGCATGCATGCAAAATTGCCTGCCAGCGTGAGCAGTGGTTCCAGTGAAAGAAGAGGGTGTTTAAATCCAATAATGCATGCATGCAACGGTGGATGCATGCAACAATGCATGCATGCAACGGTGGATGCATGCAATAATGCATGCATGCAACAATGCATGCATGCAACGGTGGATGCATGCAATAATGCATGCATGCAAAAATAAATATGTTCATCTGTCTTTTGCGCCTGGGTTAGGCAGTCGTCTCTGCTTGTACAGCTGCTGATGCTGCTGTTGCTAGTGCTGCTGCTGCTGCTGCTGCTGCTGTTTGTGCTGCTGCTGTTGGTGGGTGTTTGCTGCAGCGTTTGTGCGCATGCATAAACCTAAACCCTCAGCCATAAACCCTAACCCTAAATTAGGGTTTGACAACTCCAACTTTTGCTGCTCTGAGGATTCGGTCTTTTATTTTGTAGCCTCGCTGCACCACCTGCGCGACCCTGCCCTTCTTCTGCAGCAAAACAAAAACCCTAAACCCTAAACCCTAGATTCTTAACCCTGAACTCCAAAACTTCATTCCTAAACCAACGGCCCCGAAGACACGGCACTAAAAATACCGTCTTGACCCTGGCATAGCCATAAGGGTTTAGGGTTTAGAGAAGGGTTTAGGGTTTCGAAAAGGGTTTAGGGTTTAGAGTAGGGTTTAGGGTCTCTTGCTGGCGTACATCGCTCGGCCCGTCCATCTCAAAGAGAGCCTCATGAAGAGCTGGGTCGAATTTCTCCCCCATCTGCAAACCCCAAACCCTAAACCCTAAACCCTAAACCCCAATCCCTAAACCCTAAACCCTAAACCCTAATCCCTAAACCCTAAACCCTAAACCCTAATCCCTAAACCCTAAACCCTGACCCCGAGCTCTCAACTCTATTAGTGGTAGTAGGACGAACTCTCAAGGTGAACTACCTCTTCGCGTAAACGGCGGTTTCCCGCACAGCCCAAACCCTAAACCCTAAACCCTAAACCCTAAACCCTAAACCAAACATATCTGCCTACCGGGTCGTATGACTCCACCCCGAACCTTTCTAAAGTTTTGTGAAAGAGATTGTCGGTTAAGGAAATACCATCAACGAACTGCTTCAGCTGCTCCAAACTCTGCTGCTGCTGCTGCTGCTGTTGCTGCTGCTGCTGCTGCTGCTGCAGCTTTTCTAGCTGCTGCTCAAGCTGCTGCCTCGCGTTAGTAAGAGAATCTCCAACATCTAACAAAGCCTTTGCAAAGGAAGATATTGCGTAGTCCCTCGCCGACGCAGCCTAAACGCCCAAACCCTAAACCCTAAACCCTAAACCCTAAACCCTAGGGACCCCCAAAATAATCCTCCTAGCCACCTGTATAGAGCTAAATGCTTAGGATGTGAGATTTGCGGTTTGCAGTTTAGGGTTTGGGGTTTAATCTTTAGGGTTCAGGGTTTGTGCTTTAGGGGCTAGGGTTTGCCCTTTTTGGGGTTGAGGGTTTGTGGTTTAGGGTTTGCGGTTTAGGGTTTACAAATGTTGTGCGTTTCAAAGTGCTCGGCAAGGGTTTAGCGTCTAGGGTTTAGGGTTTAGGGTTTAGAGACCTCTTTAGCTAGGCGAATTCTTGCGTTTTCTTGCTCAGCCAGACAGCGCAGCAATTTGTCTTTGAGCTCCGCATTATTTTCTTTTAAAGTCTTCGCTGTCTCAAGAGCAGCAGCAAGCTGCGACTTCAGCTGTACGTACACCCCACAACCAAACCATAAACCCCAAACCCTAACCCTAACAAACAACAGCAACGCCCTAAACCCTAAACCCTAAACCCTAAACCATAGAAACCACACAAGAAGCCTACTCTCCTTCCCTTTTCAGCCCCTTGACCCTATGCTACAGATAATCAAAACCCTAAACCCTAAACCCTAAACCCTAGCAATGCAATTGGAGTATGCAGTAGCCGCGGCTCCAAGCCTCTACGAACATCGCTGCAGGGACACACCCCTAAACCCTAAACCCTAAACCCTAAACCCTAAACCATTGTGGTTTGTCGGACTTGTTCTAGATCTTCTATCTCTTCATCGCTTGCTGCCTCCTCTGCTACTTCTCGCGTTTCTGTGTCAGTTGCTGCAGCGCCACCCTGTTCTGCTGCTTCTGCTGCTGCTGAGGAGCTGCTGCTGCTGCTCTCTGCAGCTGGGTAGTTGTTGTTGTTGCTGCTGCTGCGGCTGCTGCTAGTGAGGAAACGAAACGCTGCTGCAGCAGGACCATCTGCTGCTGCTGCTGCTGCTGCTGCTGCCTTTGGGAGCTGAACCCCCGCGAGGCCCCGCAGCGGAGAGCAGCTTAAAGAAGAGCCCACAGCAGCTCTAGGGTTTAGGGTTTGAGGGTTTAAAGCCCTAGGGTTTAGAGGAAAGGAGAGCGCGCCAGTAAAGTGACTGCTGTTGCTGCTGCTGCTGCTGTTGCTGCTGCTGCTGCTGCTGCTGCAGGTACTGCGAGGCCCCCTGAACCCAACGCGAGCAGCCACGCGAGGGCCCCCCCTAATGCGCGTAGCTAATTGAAAGAAATGCATGATTGTACTGCGTTTGCGGTGTACGTACACCTAAAGAAGGCTGTGAGACTCGAGACAATATCGAGTGGGGCGCTTACAAGCTTGAATGTAGATTCTGTTTTTCTTAGTTTATTTCGCCTTATACACTCTTTTTTTAAAGCTAAAAGGCATTTAAAATGCAAAAATTAATTCAAAAATACAAACTCTTACGAGCTGTACATACACCTGAACGGGGCTGCAGCGCTACGCTCAAAGAAAAGCCAAGCGAAGTAGCAGCTTCAAGAGACAGCCGAAGACAAAAAGAAATTAAATTAAAAAATTAATTTAATTATGCAAACATTAAATTTAAAACAATATATTAATCCGTTATTATCATCTCTCCATGCATATTAAACTGAGGTGTACATACACCTCGATATATATGCATATATATATATTATATATATATACAAATATATATATACATATATATATATATAATTCGTCCATACATTCGCTAGCATTAAGCTTTAAAGGGAAAAACGAAGAAATTAATTTTCTTTTATTATTTTTAATTATTTTTTTGTAGACTTCATTAAACACAGACGATGTCTAAATATTGCGCAACACTAAACACGGTGTACGATATATGTATATATATATATATATTTGTTTATGCATAGATAAAGATGTATAGATAATAAATACAATATATATATATATATCGTACACCGTGTTTAGCATGCATATATATATATATATATGCATGTATGTATGAATATTCATTTATATATACACATGAAGAATATGCATATATATATATATATATATATCCACTATATTATACAAATATATATTATACATATATATAATCTGCATCTTCAAGTTTATGAGCGTGCATCGTACTGAGAACAAAAATAAAGATGCGCGCATCTGTTAATTAATTTACACAAATATGTATAATATGCATTCATACAGGCACATACACTTTATATGCATGCCTATATATATATATATATATATATTAAATGCATGATGTACATATGAGG